TATAAATTTTAAATAAAACATTATAATATTATATATATATATATATATATATATAGTTTTTTTAATGTATATTAAAAAACTAATCGGTTATTTGATTTTTCAATTACTTGATTATGATCGATTATTTTTTTAATAACCAATTACTTTTTCAAATAATCAATTAGTTTTTCAAATGTACATTAAATAATTACAAATAAAAATATATATCAAATTAAAATTAAAAAAATAATTATTTATAAATTATATATTATATAAATTATAATTATAAAATTAAAAAAAATTATATTTATAGTTATAACCTTAAAAAATTTATAATTATAAAATTAATAAAAATATAACTATTTTAATGTTAAATAAATGATATATATTATATAAATTATATATATATATATATATATATATTACACAAATTAAAATTACATATATAAACTTTAAATTAATTATATATATATTTTACATAAATTAAAATAATAATTATCAACTTAAAAATAAATTATATTTAGAATTATAATATATATATATATATATATATATATATATATATTCCAAAATATAACTTATTTTCATTTCTAATATATATATATATATATATATATATATATATATATATATTCCAAAATATTACAAAACACACACAAAAAAAATACATTTCAAAAACATAATTTTACATAAAAATATTATTCCATCTTACATACTTATAATTTTTAAGACTTTTATTATCCTCCTAATTTATTATTAATTTCTAAAAAAAATATTACAATATCAATTAAATCAAAGAATTAAAAAAATTAACCATACAAATAATATATAAATATAATATTTAATAATATATTTTAAAAGTATTAAATCTAAATATATTATTAATTTAAGAAATATATAAATCTTTTTAAAATTATAATTTAAAACTATAAATTTTAAATAAAACATTATAATATATATATATATATATATATATTAGTTTTTCTTTTTTAACAAAATAAACAAAAAAAAGAAAACTAATTCAGAATTCGGTTGCCAAAAAATCGAATTCTAAATGATTTGAAAGAAAAAATAATATGCAACCACGTTCAAGTTTCGTGTACTAGGTGAATTGAATTCGTAACTTAAAAAAAATTGTGCTATATAGGTAAATAAAACCTACAGTATGTTATTTAATTAATTAAAAAACGAATACGTGTCACGTGCAGAAAATATTTTGTATACTTAAAGAAAAAATATTTCAACTAAAGATAATTATATTTTTATAAATAATTTAATTACATAATATATTTATTATATAATGTATATCAATTATATTTTGATATAAATTTTTTTCTGGTATATTAATTATATGAAAACAACCACGGTTAAGTAATTAATAATAATAAAGTAATAAATTTAAAAACTAGATTAAAAATAAAGTGTTATAAAATAAAATTGTAATAATTTGATTGAAATTATAATTTTTTTAATTAATTAAGTTAATGAGGAATTAAAATATAATAATTTGATGTGTTCAATTTTTTTAATATCAATTTTTAAAATATAATTTAATTTCAATGAAATTTTCAATTGAAAAATATATTAAAGAATATTTGTTATTAACTTTTTCTTAAACATTATATTGAATAGTTAATATCACTCCAATCTTAATTTATTATAATTTAATTTTTTAATAAATTTGATTTATTTTTATTTTAGTAATTTAAAATTAAAGTTAATATTCATTTTGTTAACATTAAGACCAAAGTTTATTTTTAAAGTATATTTTAAAAAATAAATTACTTTTAAAAAATAAATTGTAAAAAATATACTAAAGCAATTAAAGTATATTTATAAAAAATAAATTTAAATATAATAAAAAAATTTATGTCCATTAGCGACCGATTTCAATTTGGTCACTATTTCAATTAGTAATTCGATCGTTAAATGATTTTCTTTATTTTAGTATGGAATAGTCACCGATTTAGCGACCGAAATTTTGCGACGCAAACTATTGGTCGCTAAATAAAAAATGAAACCAAATCATATTTTGGTGGCAAAATCAGTCGTTAATTGCAACCGAATTATATCGGTTACTAATTTCGGTCGCTAAAAGTATTTTTTCTTGTAGTGTCTTGGATGAAATAGACAATGCACACTTCGAATTCAAAGTGGAAGCTAAATCTCATACCAGTGCCAGCAGGGAACTCACTTTTTGTTAGGATACATTTTGTGCTCCATTGAAGAGTCAAAAGATATCAATAAGATGACACTTGATGAATTGCAAAGCTCATTGCTTATTCATGACCAAAAGTTCAAGCGGCAAGAGATAACTGACCAAGCATTGAAGGTCATGGAGAATGCCTCTTTTTCACACACTGAGGAATGGGTCAGCACCAGAGGCAGATGGCGTGGAAGAGGCAGGGGTCGAGGGAGAGCATTCAACAAATCCACTATTGAATGCTACTGCTGTCACAAACTGGGACATTTCAAATATGAATGTCCCACCTATGCAAATTATACCAAACACACTAATATGGACGAGGGAGAAGAGATGTTGCTTATAGCCTATCAAGAACTGCAAGGACATGTACGTAGTGACATATGGTTCATAGACTCAGGTTATAGCAACCATATGAGTGGAGAAAAAAAAATGGTTCACCGAACTAGACCAATCATTCTAGCACAGCATCAAATTGGGTAATGATTCTAAGTTGGATGTCATGGAAAAAGGTACACTTTTAGCATGTTTGATTATAAGAACCTTAATAATTGGCAATCGCATGTTTATACTTTTAGCATCCATTCCTCCTGACACATAGCATCAGCCCCATGTTATAATATTGTTTGTGATAATACTACAAGCCTATGACATCAAAGGCTTGGGAACCTTAATATTAAAGGATTGCGCACTTTGGCTTATAGACGAATGATTCATGGCTTGCCTATATTGAAGAACTAGTCGCAAATGTGCAGCATATGCATGAGTGGAAAGCAACAATGTAATCCCTTCTTAAAGAAAATTGCATGGAGAGCATCCAAACCTCTCCAACTTATTCATTCAGATATATGCGATGCAATTTACCCAGAGTCTCAAAGCCATAAGAGGTACATTCTAACATTTATAGATGATTGTAGTAAAAAAATGTGGTCTTATTTTTACATGCCAAGTCAAAAGCCTTTGACACATTCAAAAGGTTCAAGTCATGTGTGGAGAACGAAACAGGATACCAAATAACGTGCCTATGAACTGACAGAGAAGGAGAATTTTGTTCCTCAAAATTTAATGACTACTGTAGTGCTCATGGCATCACAAGACAACTCACTGCCACCTATTCCCCACAACAAAATGGAGTGGCTGAAAGGAGAAATCGCACACTGATGAATATCATAAGGTGCATGCTTATAGTTCGTGAGGTTCCACAGAAGTATTGGCCAGAAGCAGCAAATCAAGCAACCTATGTTCTCAACAGATGTCCTACCTCAGCTTTGACAGATATGACACCAGAAGAAGCATGGAAAGAAAGAAAGTCAATAGTGAGTCACCTTAAGGTGTTTGGTTGCATAGGATATGTGCATATTCCTAATGCAACCCGCAAAAAGCTAGATGAGAAGAGTATCAAATGCGTGCACATGAGAGTTAGTGAAGAATCCAAAGCTTATCGTATGTATGATCCAGAAACAAAGAAAATAATAATCAGTTGTGATGTTGTGTTCGATGAAATGGAAGCATGGGATTGGAGCACATCGGGAGAAAGCCACAACACTAATGATCTTATATGTGATGAACCAAAAGCAACTGATATTGACTCGGGAACCACCAGCAAAGCAGATCCTGAAATTGTCGAGAGTTTAGAAATTATAAGCAGCAGAGTCCCAGAACGCAACAGAAAGCCACCAAAATGGATGCAGAACTATGAATCCGGAGCTGGAATATCCGAAGAGGAAGAAGTTGATGATGTTGAGCAACTCACCCAATAAATGTAGCAACTTGTTATGCTTGTGACCAATGATCTCTCACCTTTGAGGAAGCAGCTAAAAGTCGAGTATGGAGAGATGCTATGAAAAATGAAATTGAAGCAATCGAAAGAAATGGCACCTGGGAGCTCACTGACCTACCACCAGGAACAAAGAAGATTGGTGTCAAGTGGATTTTCAAGACTAAGATGAATGAAAAATGTGAAATTGACAAGTGTAAGGCACGACTCGTGGCTAAAGGATATGCTCAACAAGTTGATATTGATTACACTGAGGTGTTTGCACCTGTTGCTCACTGGGACACTATTCGGCTGATTTTGTCTATTGCAGCAGGTAGGGGATGGCAAGCTCATCAACTTGATGTCAAAAGTGCATTCTTACATGGAGAAATAACAGAAGAAGTATATGTAGAACAACCAAAATGTTATGAGGTACCTGGTGCTGAAAACAAAGTCTACAAACTCAAAAAGGATCTCTATGGACTCAGACAAGCCCTTCGGGCTTGGTTCAGCAAAATAGAGTCATACTTTATCAATGAAGGCTTTGAAAGGAACATGTACTCTCTTTGTTAAAAGGGAATGAAGTGTTAATGTTATTATTGTTAATTTATATGTGGATGATTTTATTTTCACAGGTAACACTAAGAATATGTTTGAAGAATTTAAACATTCAATGAAGAGGAAATTTGAGATGATTGATTTGAGATGCATGCGCTATTTTCTTGGAGTAGAGGTCACACAAACTCCTAGTGGAATTTTCATTTGTCAAAGGAAACATGTCAATGAAGTATTGGAAAGATGTCAACTTAGGCCTCCAACCACTACCATTAAATCAGCACTTTCATTTTCTTTTAAGGCACCACCTTCGAAGGAGCCCTCTAAGGGACCACCTTCTAAGGTGTCCTCCAAGGCACCAGCTCCTAACACACCTTCTAAGGCAATGGCTCTCACAAAGTTACCACCTTACAACTTGGAAGTGAATAATCGAGTTTTGGGGAGAGAAAGGGAAAATGATCAAGTTAGGACCTTTTATAAGACTTGTCTAACAACAAAAATACAAACATGTCTATACTTGGCCTAGTGGGTCCAAGTGGGATTGGAAAATCCACACTTGCTCGTGTAGGGTACAAGGATGACAAAGTAAGGATATTGTTTCAACTCAGAGTTTGGGTAACATTTCCTCGTTTCGAACTTGGAGCTGGGACTTTAGCAAAGATCATACTTACTATGTTCGAAGTTGAGTTGAACCAAAATGACTAGTTGCCAAGCCTGATGTCTCTCCTGCAAAAGTATTTGAGTGGAAAGAAATTGCTTCTTGTGTTGGATGGATGTTGGTCTGTTCGTGACTGGGAGAAACTTCGACCTTGTTTCGAATTTGCTGCAAGTGGGAGTGCCATCATCCTAACCACGAGGACAACCAAGGCTGCATTACAAATGCTTGTGGGTCATGTTCTGCATCTAAGTTTCTTGTCCATGGAGGATTGTTGGTCCTTATTTTCTGATCATTGTGAAATGTAAATGGATTTTATTGAATCTATAATTGAAATGTCGAATCCAGCAAACAGAGTACAACTAAATCAACATTAACCGATAAAATTCCAATCTCCGAGCACGCAGGAAAACCTAAAAAATAAGAATTAATATCTTTTAGGGGAAGGAATTTGATAAGAGGGAATCAGGATTCTAAAAGCCAGATAGAAAAGAATTTTATCAGAGGAGAGTTATACTGTTTTTCCGTCCTCAATTCCATTCGTAATCCTTCCATTTGTAATTGTGTTTCCTTTCACGAGTGTTGCGCCTGATCCCCACTACTTCTGTATCATTTGCCACGTGTTCAGATGCTTCAACTAACTCTCCCGCCAGCTGTCTCTTCCTTATGCACGTTACATTACCCTTGTAGACCCCAAATCTTGCCCGGCCTCCAAATAAAGTCAGAAGACCCCCTATTTGAAGACGGTCGAAGCCTAACAAGCCACTAGGAGAGACTATTAGGCCCCCGTACTAAGATAGGAGGTTTTTTTGGCCCGAAAAATAAAGTTTCTCGCCCTGAAGGGACGAGACCGCCGTCTGGAAGGACCAGACCGTTGTCTCGCCTCACGCCAGGGACGAGACCGCCGTCTGGATTATCCAGACGGCGGTCTCGACTTCTGGCTAGTCGAGACGGCGGTCTAGATTATCCAGACGGCGGTCTCGACCCCCTACCATGATCGAGACGGCGGTCTGAATTGTCCAGACGGCGGTCTCGACCCTGTCAGACGAAACGACGGTCTCGACCTGTCAGGCGCGAAAAACTATAAATAGGGGCTCTCCTCCCATCATTTCCACACATAAACACACAGTTCCTCCTCCTTCTCTCTAGATTTTCTCTCTCTAGAACCCCTCCGAAGCATTTCCGGAGTTTCTGAGTGTCTTTAGGAGAATTTTGAGCGTTCTAAATCTTCTTTAGAATCCCTCCGAGGCATTTCCGGAGTTTCTGAGCGTTGTAGAGTGAAGGGCTGCCACAAAGCACCCTCTTCCAAAGAATATAAGAAAGCTTGCTTCGAAGGTTCATAAACCTCTTTATTTACTTTACCACTTCCATTTAAATTATGCAATAGACGCTAGGGCCATGTAGTCATAATCTTTAAATACTGCATAATAAAAGGGTAAAAGCGCAATTTTCCAGTTTAATTATTTATCCAAAGTAGTCGGCCTATCATAGGGAACCCGAAAGGGGTGTCGTAAAGGAACTAACACTTCCTTTACACGTAACTAACTCCCTTACCCAACTCTGGTTCTAATGACCAAAGTTGGTTTTCGAAAACCAACGCCTTTTTAAACTCCTTTTCCGATGTTTCCGGTAAAAACATCGGTGGCGACTCCACGAACCCTTCAAAACCCGTTCTTGGGTTAGCCCGGTTATCGGACAACCCAAGAACACTTTTCGAAAACCTCGTCTCTAGGTTAGCCCGGTTATCGGACAACCTAAGGACGTTGTAACCACCCATAAAAAAACGCGAAAGCAAGAGGGTTGACAAAACCATCGCGTCGCTCCGACCGCCTCTTTTTGACGGCGGTGACAACCCTCTTCATCAACAACAACCTTGTCCTCAAGGTTGAAATGAGGATAAGAACTTTGAATATCACTCAAATTCTCCCACGTGGCATATGAAGAATCTGTCACATCCCATTGAATTAAAATCTGAGGGACTAAACCATTATCACGTTGTATCATTCGAGCATCAAGCACTGTTACAGGTTGAATTATTGGTCTCAACTCACTGGAAGTTAATGGAAGGGGCAAATACTACTGAGAAGTATTGTCACAAAATTTCTTAAGTAATGAAACATGAAACACAGGGTGTATTCTTGTTGATTCGGGAAGTTGGAGTTTGTAAGCTATAGAACCAATTTTCTGCAAAACTTCAAAAGGTCCAAAGAACCTTAACCCAAGCTTAACATGCTTTCTTAGTACTACAGAATGTTGCCTGTATGGTTGCAACTTAACCAATACAAAATCACCCACTTGCAGTTGTACGTCATGTCTTTTCTTATCAGCTTGCTGCTTCATATTAATTTTGAGATTTTAACAAATGTTGTCTTAGTTGAGTAAGCAAGTGATCCCTAGCTTTCAGTGTTTCTTGTAAGGAAATAGGATCTGAAGCTTGAGATTCATAACGAACAACAACTGGAGGAGGTCTGCCAAATACTGCTTGAAAAGGAGTCATTCCTAAACTGTGATGGAGGGAGGTATTGTACCATAATTGAGCCCATGGTTACATAGAGACCCAACTTTTAGGATTATCAAAGACGAAGCATCTTAAGTACATTTCAAGAGTCTTGTTAAGGTTCTCTGTTTGTCCATCAGATTGTGGATGATAAGATGAACTCATTGCTAAGGTAGTCCCTTGAGCCTTGAACAAGTATTTCCAAAAGGCACCAATGAATACTCAATCTCTATCAAAAATAATAGATTTAGGGAACTCATGGATCTTGACAATATTAGAAATAAAAGTTTCAGCAACTGATTTGCTATTAAAATCTGATTTCATAGGAATGAAGTGACCAAACTTTGACAGTCTATCAATGACTACAAAGATAGTGGTAAAGCCTTGGGATGCAGGCAAATTAGTAATAAAATCCATTGTTATTTCTTCCCAAATTTGATGAGGAATGGGCAAGGGTTGCATTAAGCTAGCAGGGACCATATGATCAGTCTTGGCTTGTTGCAAACAAGACACTCATTCACAAACTTTCTAATATCGTTCCTCATATGAGGCCAATAAAATTGAGCAGATATCCTTGTTGTTGTCCTTCTAACCCCAGCATGTCCACCCATTTTAGAACTATGAAATTCCAGCATCACCTGTTGTAATAAGTGCATAACTTCTGGCAATACAATTCTATTTTTGAACAACAGTAACCCCTCATGAACACTATATTCTGCTGAATGTAATTTTCCCAACAAACAATCCTGATAGAGTTTAAGACATTTGTCATCCTTTTGTGTGAATTCAATTAACTGATGAAACCAATTAGCAACAGGTTCAGAGAAAGCCATAAACACACTTTTGGAAAGAGAATCTGCTAGAACATTTTCCTTACCAGGATTATACTGGATGGTAAAATCATAACCTAAGAATTTAGGTAACCATTGTTGTTGTTCAGGCGTTTGTAGGGACTGATTTAAAAACTCTTTTAAAATTTTCTGATCAGTCTTGATAATGAACTTATGACCCAAAAGGTAATGTCGGAACTTAGCAATTACTTCAGTAATATCATAGAATTCTCTAGTTTAAGCAGATTGTTGCTACATCCGATGTGAGAGTTTCTTTGAAAAGTAGGTTATAGGATGTTTGTCTTGACTGAGGACAACACCTATGCCCGTTCCAGAAGCATCGGTTTCAAGGACAAATGAAATTTGGAAATTTGTAATGGATAAGACTGGAGCAGAAGTCATGGCTTGTTTCAATTGATTAAAAGCAACAACAGCTAATGAGGTCCACTAAAAAGCATCTTTCTTTAGTAGATATGTTAAAGGTGCGACAATTTGAGCATATGACTTAACAAATCTTCTATAATACCCAGTAAGTCCAAGAAATCCCCTTAACTATTTGATATTACCAGGCTGAGGCCATTGTTGAACAGCTTCTAATTTAGAAATGTCCATGGTAACACCATCACCCGAAAGTGTGTGACCTAAGTAATCGATCTTCTGAACACCAAAAGAACATTTAGAGAACCGAGCATACAATTGATGTTGTTTCAAAATACGCAAAACCACTTCTAAGTGATTTAGATGATCCTTCCATGTAGTGCTATATATCAATATATCATCAAAGAAAACCAATACAAACCTCCTTAATAATCCAGCAAAAATGTCATTCATGAGGCTTTGAAAAGTAGCAAGTGCATTGGTCAATCCAAAGGGCATAACCAACCATTCGTAATGACTAAAATGGGTTCTAAATGCAGTTTTAAACTTGTCCTCAGGATTAAGCAAAATCTGGGAATATCCAGATCTTAAATCCAATTTTGAAAAGAAGGAAGCTCCATATAATTCATCAATTAATTCATCTACCGTTGGAATTGGAAATGTATCTTTGATGGTAATGGCATTCAAAGCCCTATAATCAGTACATACCCTCCATGACCCATCCTTTTTTTTTTACTAGAATAATTGGGGAAGAAAAATGACTCTTACTTGGCCGAATAATGCCTTCATCCAACATTCCTGCCACCAGCTTTTCCATTTCTTCCTTTTGACTATGAGGATATCTATAAGGCTTCACTTTGATAGGTTGTGACCCTTCCAATAAAGGAATTGAATGATCATGAGACCTTGGAGGAGGAAGTGTAGTAGGAGTGTCGAATACCACACTATAAGTATGTAACAATAGAGCTAACTCTGGCTCCATATCAACAGGTAGTTCCAAAGGAGAACAAGAATGAGAGTTATCTTCTATTAACTGCATACTATACACCTCAGCAATAGAATCTGTATGAATCATTCTTCGAATATGATTAAGTTGAGCATGATCAGGTGAAACATTAGAATCTCCCTTCAAGGTAGTAAACTTACTATTCCACAAAAATTTCAGTTGTAATTCACCATAATATGAGGTCCTATAGTCTTTAACCAGCTAGCCCCAAGAATCAAATCAGCGCCAGAGATAGGCAATAAGAATACTGGGAATTTAAATGTATTCCCTTGAGCTTGCAGTGTAAGATCCTATATAACACCCTCAATAGTCATATAGTTCCCATTCCCAACCATTACCTTAAATAAGGTAGCAAGTTCAACAGGTAATTTCAAAAACTTAGTAACCCTGGGATGCAAGAAATTATCAAAACTGCCCCCATCAACAAGTTCAACAGGTAATTTCAAAAACTTAGCAACCTTGGGCTGCAAGAAATAATCAAAACTGCCCCCATCAACTAGAACTAAGACTGTCACTTTATCAATGTAAGCCATAAATCGTATAGTGCCAACTCCACCCCCACCTTTTAATGCATTTAAAGATAAATGATGATCATCAACCTCATAAGCCTCAATCTCAGTAACAGATTTTGACTCATTAGTAGCAGCAATGTCATCACACTCATCCGCTTCTAACTGTAAAAATATGAATTGCCTATTTGGACATTTATGATTAAAGGTAAATTTATCTTCACAAAAATAACATAAACCTTTTTCTCTTCGAAGTTGCATCTCAACAGAACTTATTTTCTTAATTGTAGAATTTCTCAATGGAGGTCCTGGAGGAGTAGGTAACAATGGAGGTAAATTTGTCTGAGAAGCAGGCTTAGATTTCACATTAGAGTTGTGACTAGTTGAAGAAATACAAGAATATCTAGGAATATAATTATTGGTAACATTTTTTGGCAATATAAATTGTCTTCAAACAATTTAGCTAAAGCCACAACCTTTAACAAGGTAGGAGGAGACATCGCAAGAACATCACGTTTAATTTCAACATGTAAACCACTTAAAAAGAAATTGAGCAAGGCTTCATCAGTAAGACCAACAGATCGATTGGCCAATGACATAAATTTCATGTAATAATCTGAGATCGAACCTGACTGTTGCAATTTAAACAGATCTGTCATGGGACAATCAAATGGGGAAGGACCAAATTGTGATTCTAACGCTCTAGTCAGTGCTTACCAAGTATTTACCGCAGCCATTTTATGAAGCATCTGAAACCATGGAACTACCTCTTTATCGAAATGCATTGCAACAATATTCACCCTAGAGTCATCTGTAGTGTTATGGTAAGTAAAAAATTTCTCAGCCTTAAAGATCCATTCAAGCACCGGTGTTGTCCCATCAAAATGCAGAAATCCCAATGAAATATCCTTGATCGGAAAAGCAACATTCATTGAAGTACCTAGCGGAGAACCATTGTTCGAAGAACTTCCATGAAGGTGAGAATTGTTCTGAAAAATTAAAGCCAAGGAAGCCTGGATCTATTCCATACGAAGATTTTGCTCTTGATAATGCAATTTCATTGTTTCACCAATGTGACGAATGTCATCAGTATGAGCGTTCACCGCATTTTGCAAATCTCGCAACCTCGTGTTCTCAGCCATGGAAGTCAATGAAAACACCAATGAAATGTAAATGGATTTTATTGCATTTGTAATTGAAATGTCAAATCCAGCAAACAGAGTACAACTAAATCAACATTAACCGATAAAATTCCAGTCTCCGAGCACGCAGGAAAACCTGAAAAATAAGAATTAATATCTTTTAGGGAAAGGAATTTGATAAGAGGGAATCAGGATTCTAAAAGCCAAATAGAAAAGAATTTTATCAGAGGAGAGTGTATACTGTTTTTTCGTCCTCAATTCCATTCGTAATCCTTCCATTTGTAATTGTGTTTCCTTTCATGAGTGTTGTGCCTGATCCCCACTACTTATGTATCATTTGCCACGTGTTCAGATGCTTCAACTAACTCTCCCGCGAGTTGTCTCTTCCTTATGCACGTTACACATTGTTTTGGAAACTACAATAGTAGTTCTACTCAGCTAGAAGTGGTGGGAAAAAGGATCTTGAGCAAATGTGGGGGTGTGCCTCTGGCTGCTAAAATGCTTGGGGGTCTCTTGCATGAGAAAGACTACAAGGTTTGGGAGGAGATACGGAGGAATCAACAATGGGATGAACCTAACATTGATCTTGCCGCACCATTTGTAAGATTATGCTATCTTTCTCTACCTATACAATTGAAAACATGCATAACCTACCTTCCCATGTTTCATAAAGGTTATAAATTTCAGAAAAGTCATTTGGTTCTCGAATGGATAGCCAAAGGTTTAATTCAGCGGGGGAATGATGGTGGCTACTTCATTTCTCATAAATAGTGGTGGTGACGAGGATTTTACAATGCATGACATAGTTCGGGATGTAGCCGGGTTCGTATCCTGTAAAGAAAGATTCTTACCTTTCCCTACCTCTCTCTTCTCTCTGATGCACAAAGATGAAAGAGAAACAAACTTCTTTTTTCAATTTCTGAATGATGATTGACTTTACAAAGAATGGCTTATTTATAGCCTCTGGTCCCTACCTTTTATTTTGGAACTAACTATTAAAAGATAAAACAGAAAATAAATCTTATCTAATTTCCACTTTTATTGCAGAACTAACTATTAAAAGATAAACAGAAAATAAATCTTATCTAATTTCCACTTTTATTGCGGAACTAACTATTAAAAGATAAACAGAATGACATATAACAGTTTTCCCCCCCCATGAAAGCAGATCTTGTCCTCAAGGTCTGTCAACGTGAAACACGTCATGTATTTTGGTTCCAGTAGGTAACTTAAGTTTGTAAGCCACTTTTCCTATTTCCTCTAACACTTTATATGGCCCAAAGTATCTAGCTGCAAACTTTTTTCTCTGAGTGTTAACAGACAATCCACAACAGCTTTCATAGACCCCTTTTCTAGGTCCGATATTTCAAACCGGGGCAATCCTACTCGCGTCCAAAGCTTTCGAAACGATTTAACATTTTCTCGATTGTGATGGCAGAGAATTATCGGGTTCGCTAATCACATTCACACTACCAAGTCGTAGCTTGTTCAGATCTCGGCACAAAACTGTACCATTGCTCAAACATGCTCTTAATTCATCGTCCGTGACATTTGGTGGAAATTTCAATAAAGGAAGAAGGCTAGTTAACCATCGAACCAAAATCAATCTACGTTTGGCTTTCTCTCGTAGAGATCTTATTGTCTAATTCTTTATTAATATCATCCTGTAATCGTGTTAGACGTATTGCTTCTTGGATGGATTTAGGGTTATGAAGACGAACTGATTTCTCTAAAGGACTTTCCAAACCTGCGAGGAAGAAACTGAGAGCCATGCCTTCGGAGATCATCACACGCGCTAACAAAGAATCAAATTTTTCAAGATATTCAGGCAAAGATTCTTGTTGCCGTAAGCGCGAGATTTCAGCAATAGGGTCATCGTAGGCTCCATCATCAAATCTGTTTCCTACATCAAGCAAGATATCGGTCCAAGATTTCGACCTGAAGCTGGGGTTTTTGATGTAATGTCGTTGCCATGCGAAGGCGTTGCCTTCCATGGATAACAGGAGCAGTTTCCCTCTTTGGTTTACTGATGTTCCTTCTAATTCAAAAAATTGCTCTGCCTTGGCTTGCCAAACCCTAAAGTTTGTGCCATCAAAATTGGGGAATTGGAGCTGTGCACGATGTAATACTAACGTAGTAGATTCGCTTTCATCGTCGTTCGGAGGTGGAATGTTGGTTCCTGCTATTAACGCCGCCACGGAAGCTGCTAAAGTCTGCATAGTTTTCTGCATCGCCAACAATGTCGTATTCGTTTGTTCTTGTGAATCTGCAAGAGATTTCTCCAAGGATGCCACACGCGTTTCGAGTTCCTTGTTGGTCACCATGGTCGTTGCCTTTCAACTGATACCAATTGTAAAGAAAGATTCTTACCTTTCCCTACCTCTCTCTTCTCTCTGATGCACAAAGATGAAAGAGAAACAAACTTCTTTTTCAATTTCTGAATGATGATTGACTTTACAAAGAGTGGCTTATTTATAGCCTATGGTCCCTACCTTTTATTTTGGAACTAACTATTAAAAGATAAAACAGAAAATAAATCTTATCTAATTTCCACTTTTATTGCGGAACTAACTATTAAAAGATAAAACAGAATGACATATAACATATCCCCAAAATCTCATTCTATCATTGACGAAAATGATGAGTATTGACACACTACTACAAATTTTCATTTTTCATGGGAATATTTTTGCAAAATTTTTGTAGAAATTGCAAGAAATAAGTTTTCTATAAATTTAAACAATTTTTTACAAGAAAATTGGCAGAAAAAAACTAGTTTTCTAGTAGTGACACTTCTTTCTTGATCTCAAGTATACAAAATGTTGAAGAAAGTTCATCTGAGCTCGAAGACCCTGAACATATCCCCTTGAAGGATAATGTTGACATTGCCAACACAACTCATGGTCTTGACCAACAATCTCCAGAATTTGAAGTCAAATTACATATAACTACAAATGATGTTGTCCAACCTTCTTTCGAGTCTCCGACTCATTTTGATACACTGAGAATTTGGGATGCATCACAGCTGGTGGAATTACCACCAGAACTGCACAGGCTTAGAATTGAAGGGTGTCACACTTTCAAGTCCCTGAAACATGTTTTGATGGACAGAAGCACCAACCTCTTTGAATTGTTTATAATTGATTGTTCCTTTCTTCAGTACTTTACCGATGAATCATGCCCCACTTCCTTAAGAACCCTTTATTTGCTTAAGTGCGGAAAATTAGATTTCCTCCTGTCTCTTGAGAAAATGCAAAATTTTAAATTCTTGGAACATTTGTTCATTGGTTTTAGCTGCAATAATCTGAAGTCTTTTCCAATGAACCTTTTTCCAAAACTTAAAATTCTTTGCATATGGGATTGTCCCAATGTAGAGTCCCTTTCTATAGAGGAATGCCAAGATCATGATCTATCACTTGAGTCTTTGGAAATTCGGGATTGCTCCAATATGGTGTCCTTCCCATTAATGGGGTTGCGTTCTCCCAATCTTAGATCTCTTTCTCTAATTGCAAAAATCTGAAGTCACTTCCTAATTATATGACCACTCTTACATCTCTTCAATCGGTGTTTGTAATCAAATGTCCAAAACTCGAGTCATTACCTGCAGGGGGCCTACCTTCTTGTCTGAAGCTGCTTTCGATTGCCTTCTGTGACAAACTTATTCCACAAAAGGACTGGAATCTACAGGTGCTTCACTGTCTTCAACGTTTTGAAATTGAAAGTGGATGTATGGGCTTGAGGTCATTTCCAATGAAAGACCTTTTGCCTGTAAACCTTAAGTCTCTATATATCAGCAAATTCGCAAGTTTAGAAGTCTTGGACCACAATGGCCTTCAGCAGCTAGCATCCCTTAAGTCTCTGGAGATCAACTGTTGTATAAAACTGCATTCCTTGCCAGAATTTTTGCCTTCTTCCTTGACTTCCTATGCATCAAAGAATCCCCAATGCTGTCTCAGAAGCTCTTGAGTCAAGCCAGCACAGATAGGCTTAAAATAGCTCACATTTACAAAATTCAAATTGATGATGTTATCTTAGAATAAAAAGTACACAGTTCCTCATTTATAATAAGATATAGTATTCCAGTCTCAAGCAATACTAAGACAACCTCATGTCATCAATCAATAGTTTCCAAATTCAGTATGAAAATCATGCCAGGGGCTCTGATAGTAGAACATATGGCTGTGACACGGAGTAATAAAAGCAGCTTAATGGAGCTTTGGTGGGAGAGGATCCGTGACCAAGGATTATGTGAAACAAGAGCTTGAGTTTATGGAAGAAAAGTAGATCGCAGAGTCTTTGGTTGTTTAAAATGGTAAATGTTTCCTGCTTTGCTATTGAGGTATAACCCTGTTTATGGTTGTTCAAATTGATACTTAACTGTTCAATATTTTCCAAAGTAGTACATGTTAGATAAAATATTGTAGTTTCACATTATATAAAAATAAAAAAGTTAAGCAACATATAAGAAAGTAAGACCCATAATTTAATGTTTTAAGGTTTTGGGTTGAGAGTAGTATCAATCCCTTACATGGATTGTGCTCGGGTTCATGTCCCATTGGTGTTGTTCTTCCCAGTAAATCGTTAAGATTAAGAAATTTGAAAGTAACTAATAAATGAAAATAAGATGGGTAAAGATTTATATACCCTTAACTTCTTCATGATAAAAAAAATTACATATACAAGAAATTAGAGATATAAACATACATCACCAACACCAAGTTATTAAGGGCGAAAATAATATATTTTGTATCATATATATATATATTTATTTATTTATTTATTTATGAGCAAATATATTATCTTTAAAATAAAATATTTTATCTTTGCTTAATTTTAATTTTAAATATCTTGTATAATTTTGAATGCTAACAGTATTGAGAATTATTTATCATATTCATGATAGCATAATTATATAATTTTGTTTATTGTACAGAAAATTATTTAATATAATTAAAGAAATAGTAAATTGGTATAAGAAAATTGTATTCATTTTAAATATAATTATGCTTTTATGCTTTAACAAAGTTTTCAAGGTAATGCTTTAACTGGATATAACTTGGTGGTACGTTATAATTTATGATCAATTCACAATTAATAATTATTAAATAGTGATAGTTTATGATAATTAGCAACAATAACTTTGTAGTATTAGATGTTTTAATGGTAGAAAACGTAGTATTAGATAGTTGGTTTTGTAGGTAAATGGTTGTTTACATGTTGTAAATATGTTGAACATGTTTTTATACTACACTGGATTGAATTAAAATATACAGATGTTCAGATAAACATAAAACAAAATATATATATATATATATATATATATATATATATATATATATATAAAATACAAGATACAATAATAATTAATATTATAATATCATTATAGATATACATAATAATCACCATATTTATAACATATATATATATATATATGCATACAGTATATTTTTTTTAACAGTAAAATAAGAAAAACATATAACAACAATTAAATCGTTACATGTGTCATTTACAAACTAGATTTTATACAAATTTACAATGATAATTTTATACATATTATTATATATAATATACTATGATAATTAAAGAGGAAATGGTTATTATATATAATATAGAATAATGATTAAAAACGAAGGAGTTGTGATCGTATATGATAGATATAGATACATTATATTGAGTATTAATAATGACTTTTAAGCTGGTAGAATATCAAAATTATATTTATTAAAAATTTTGTAAATGATGCTTGCTTGTAGTGGTAGGAAAACCCAACCCAACCCAAGAGTCGGCTTGCATTTATGTTATTTCAAGAAAACAAGGTGTTAAAAGTTTGTTGTTAGTTGTTGTTTTATTACTTTACAACTATCGATATGATTATTAATTACTATAAAACAATAGATATTAAATATAATTTATAGATAAGTTGTCTGCTCAAAATTCAAATTTAATTTTGTGTGACAAACCATGAATTTGATTCGAAGCTGTAAATATATGGTTTTACTGAATCTGAGTTTATAAAAATATAAGTATAGACATATATATTATAAAATTTAGTTTGTAAGCATTTACCACACACAAAAATTCATGGTAGAGACCCTAATGTTAAATATTATTTTTCTCTTATATTTATTCTTATAAAACATCAATTAAATAAAACTCGTTCAAATATTTTATATTACTTTATGTTACTTTATGTGTGACTTAGATCTTTTCAATCAATTTCACGAACACAAAGTAAATTTATTTATTTTTTTATCTTTTTTTAAATATTTTACATAAATCCTAGTAGTAACTAATATTATTTTATTTATAATTTATATTTATTAAGTTTTATTATGTCATATTTTTTATCTTATTATTATTATTTATTATATATCAAATTTTATCCTAATAAAATAATTATATTTTAAAGGATTAAAAGAAATTAATAATTTAAACTTTTATTACTTCAAACTAATTAAATAAGAATTAATTTATTAAATATTTTCTTATAAATTATATATTTCATATTTTTAAATGACAACTTAAGAATGAATTAACTTTTATATATATACATATATATATATAATAATATTATAAGTATTCAAATATTTAAATATAATAATAATAATAATAATGTTATAAATATTTTCTCTATATATAATTAAATAATAATTAAATATATTTTTACATACATATTTTAATATAAATATAATAAATTAAAATGTATATTTAATTAATAATAATTATAAAATTATAAATATTTATTTATATATAAAAAATATATAATAAAAATAATTTATTATAAATATAATTATCTTTTTAAAAATAATATAGATCAAGGACGGAACGGGGACAGAGAATCTGAAACACAACGGAGACGGAAATAAACACTTAATTTTTAATCTTAACTGGATTCGAGAACGAAGATGATTAAAAAAGTTAAATACGATTTTTACCTCCTCGATTCTCGCGCTCGCCCGTTGTCATGCACAGTTTAGTCCATGTTCTCTTGTCAAATTTCTGGTCGTAGTAATTTCTTCTTTTTTATACGTGGTACATACTAGCCTTGATCAGAGTATTTCCAAGGATTAGCCTTCACCAGTAGCTTCTTACGTGGATTCAGTACACCCAAGTCGGGTGGTCTGAGGCAGTTCGTTTCCGCCACACTTTGGGGTGAAGGGTGCTTGGGTGTTACCAAAAAGTGGCGAAATAATGCAGTGTCTGCAATTACACGACTTTCATCAGTTCAATAAAATTGAAGAGTTTGAACATTTTTTCACTTCTGATTCACCATAAGAATTTGATCAAGTACGGGGCAATAATTGCACAATGCAACTCATAGTTAAACTGTTATTGTTTCCTGCAGCATTGAGTACGTCTAATACTTCAAAATCGCTGATGCTCAACTGTACTAACTTAAATTCCGTACAAATATAAAAAAAATGCTCATTTCTTACTCCAGTTTCGTTACCAGGGATGGATTAAATTTGGCAACATTTTTTGACATTCCTTTTAAAATGCCTTCTAATAAAAATGCTTATAACACTCCTGATTTCTAATAAATTGATAGTTTCTAATAAATTTCGATATGAATTTCCTGAAACTATAGTGCTTAAAGAAGTGCATAAACCTAGAGATTATATTCCTTATTAATATTTTAAGGATGTAAGAACTAAGCATACGAACAGAACAGAGATATAAGAATCAAAACAACGCGAACAAGCATCTCAAGTCTCAACTAAAAGCCAATTTTATGAATCTCTGAAATAAAAGAATCAGAGATTGAAACACATCCGAAATAATAACTATGCAATTCTGATTTAGAGTTATCTGTCCTAAAGTAATGACCCCCAAGAGAAATGCTTTTATCACAAAGATACAACCCCCTTAAATTTAGTTTAAGCAAATCCATCTCATCCTTTCGTCCCATTCACCAACTTATCCTCGTGCCATTTACAGAAGCATTCCAGGGCGTCCCTCATCCATGCATGCCGGAGGCTTTTAAGTGCCTCCGATAAAGCTAGCCAACTCCGATTTCTGGTGCTTTGCTCAGGCCACAACTCTAGTTCCTCCTTGACAAACAAGGCAAACATTGCTGCTCTACATAAACCTTCTGGACTAAACTCATCTTGATGGGTCTTACTCCTAAATTCATAATATCCAAGAAAATCCTGACACCCAATAAACATCGGCGTCAAGAATCGATTAGCAAGTATATATATCCAAACGACAAAATCACAAGAACGCAATGTAAAAATATAAATCAGCATTGATTGCAGTTAGAATAAAACAAAATCAAGAGTACGAATATCAGGGGACAGCAATAAAAGTAAAGTAATTAAGGGATCGGCAGCATGCCAAAACAAATATATGAAACCAAAACCATGTAATACCACTAACTTTTGCAAAATTCTAAAAATAAATGCTTAATATGATAAGAACCTACACACCACAAAAGCTAACTACTGTACTGGAGAGCCCAAGGCCCCCACAATGTGGGAGACTCAAGTCACCAATCTTGCAATTAGATCCTAACATCCCACCACATTGTTCCTTTGACTAGTCCTAGGTGAACACTACAACGTCCACATCATCACCCATACCACTTGATATGTGGTTGACGACTCTGAAAGCAATTGGTAAGAACCTTGGGAGAACCATACCACGAAATTTTGCTATTGTAGTTTAAGAGCCCAAGGTCTTATTAACCCCAGGTTAATCCCATACTTCCAATGTGGACTCAAATCCATACATTGCAATTGGATCCAAGCATATTCCAACATATTTTAGAATCAGTCACCAAAATTTTAAATGATAATTTGGCTTTTCATGCATTCTCACTCAGATGCAAAAATCGCAATACATATGTGGAGATTCATTGGAATTATCACCAGTGACCAAGACATCAACTCACAGCAACCTAATCATTCACAAAATGATATGATATTCACTCAAGCTACCTAGTTTCCAGCTATAAGCAACAAAGAAAGCCTTATCCAACTTGGATCCTAGATTCCTAGAAACCATCAAAGCATACAGATAAAACAAACTTCTAAGATATTAAGAAGCCCGATAACTGTACAGAAGCTCAAAAATATAAATCCAAGAGTAGATAAGTTTTTCACCATTAGGTCTCCTCGAACTCCTGCTTCTTCTACAGCTTCCCTTGCAGCTGCCTCCTCAACAGTTTCGTCATTCTCCCAACCTCCCTTTAATGGAAAAAGGACATCACGATAATCAGAAACTACATGTTTATCAACAGCCATTTCAGAAAGCAGTGGACTAATTATCTTAACCAGATTAAGATACAAAACTAAGTAGCAGCAATCATTTTAAACAGACCGCTCAGTTGCAGTCAATTTATCGTGAGGCATATTTATCATAGTTGTCGCATCAACATGCTCAGAATATACACAATTTACAATAAGGTCTAATTTACAGAGGAGACTAGAAAATAGCCTCCTTATGTGAAAAATGGCAACAAATTTTCAGTATTAGTTAAATTCAGAGAAATATGGCAAAACAATTGCCATACCCAATGGTGGTACGGAGAACAGAATCCTAGTGATTTTACCATCTCATGCAAAACAAATAAAACTTTATTTAAATTATTTTATTCAACAATGAACAATGTGCACAAAAATTGGAGCAGAAACTGACAAACTGAGATAAAAAAGTCCCCAATATTTGTATAAAATAGAATATAGCTTTTATGGATGTTGAACTGTAATTGGACTATATATAATCTGCATAACAATCGTGCATATAATAACATTAAATTCAAGTAGTTCAAATTATGGTTTTTAATACATGCAAAAAATATTTTCTAAAAACAAATCCTGTCAGAGCAAAGATCCTATAGTAATATAGAGTCCAAAACATAATCCATTTTGTCAATACTTTGTAAACAAACTTAAAGAATTTGGAATCCCAAAATCCTTCATCTCCTACATCAGTTAATTCCAGCAAAGAGCTTAGTAGCAGACACTACTAGTTCATTAGATCAGAACAATGTACCTTTGGAAACAAAAGACCAGGTCCACTTGGTGAATTAATCATAAGCACTTCAACAATCTTCGCGGAACTGGAGTCGACATTAGAACTTTTATATCTAAATGGTACACACCTGAAACCCAATTAGCATCTCCAAATCAGATCTTTGAGCGTGTATATACAAAACAAGTACAATAAATAAAACCAAGGCCATTCCTAGCCAAAATTATCGGTTGCTGCAGTCAAAGCTGCTCAATTAAAAGGCTAATTAATTAGTCAACAGATATCTTCAAACTTTTCCCAATTAAACTCAAAGACCAAATTAATATTGTTACTACTACATTTCAGATTGCATCAAAAAAATTATTCAATTATTATACAATGAGTCATTGGAATCAGTCGAGGTGATAGCCAGCAGGACGTCAAACAAGAAGCAATCTTAAAACCACCGAGACTCGTGAAAGGGACATGATTCAAATTTACAATGAAACAAAAATAAAAAAATGATTTTGTGGTACAGCTGAACTTAAAAATACTAAAATGATAAGGAAAATAATAAATATTAAATGCTAATAAAGAAAACCTGATATTATTACATCCTAACAAAGTTCCAAGATTCCATGCATTCCTAATGTGCCAGTTCAGTAAGCATGAGATTCATGACACATCATTATGTCTATCTTCAACTTAACTTTCCAAGCACTAACAAAAAAATGCAAGAACTAAATTATATTCACAAAATAAAACCATTATAAGGACTACAGTTTGAACATATCAAACAAAAAAAAGTGGGAAAGTATCTCACAAGTCATGTTACAATTACCTAACAATTTTGGCGTACTACGACAGGCACAAGAAGTCAATGCAACTAAATAAAACTTCATTTTTTAAATTAGGTAGTATCCCCTGTTGCAAAACTAGACTTCTCTCTTTAAATCCACGTGCTTCATAAAATAACTAATCCTTTCATAATCAATGTATTTTGTTACAAACACACGCTAATCCAGACCAAAACGAAATAAAAACCCCGTTACAATATATTATTTATTTTTAAATTAAAACCTACTCTTTATCTACACTATCTCACATGAATGATCAATCAAAGACAAAGGTTTTAAAAACACTAAAAAGATCTTCGAACGCAAGTATGGCCACAGTGAGCAATTTCCTGCAATATGAAAAAACTTAACAAAACCGCGATCGTAATTTTAGTCCTTCGATCAAGACCAACTCATTCACAATGTTCCTTAAGTATAAATGTAGCGCAATAACCCCATGCATGAACAACAACAAACAAGAGAAATAACTATAAAACCTATCCAAAACAAAAAGTAAATATTAATAATAATAGTGTTGACAATAAAAACATCAGAGCATCACGATCATCAAGTCACCATCGGCATTTCTCAACCAAACCAAACCAAAAAAAAAAAACATAAAGCCCCGTACGAAAACGACGTTTATTATTATTTTTTTACCAGCAATTTTTTCAAAAATAAAAAACAAAACAAAATAACGAAACGAGAAGTCGATGCAAAGGGGAAGAACGTGAAACAGTGTCGTTTTACCCAGCAACAAGACGATAACCGTTCTCGTAGCGCTGTTGATGCCGCCCCGTACGCGCCACCAATTCAGACATAATAGCGAATCCTCTAATCAATTCCCGAATGACTCCTTCGCCATTGCAATGAGAACGCACCGTTCCTTCTCTGATCGCGCCCACACTCGATCACGATCTATTCACCCCGCATCGTTCTTCCCTTTTCTTCTGCTTCTTCGAATCTTAGGGTTTATCTTTCAGACAGAGATAGAGAGTGAAAACGCATACAAAAACGATAATGAAAGCGAAAACTAAACGCAAATGAATTGATCCAAATGAAGCGAAGCTAAACGAAAGCGCTTCGAACGGATCGATACAGAGGGTCAAAGTCTCGCGGAGCGTGGTCAACATGTGGGGCCTATTTTTATAACCAGTGTCAGCGCATCCCCTGACGAGCGACCCACAGTTTTGGCCAATTAAATCACGACACGTGGAAAACTGTGGTTTGAACGACTGGGACGGAGGAACGTGATTGGGTGGGTGTTGCGGTGTGGTGTGGTCCGCGAGGCAGCGGAACAGAATGCGGTTGAAGAAGTCAGCGCATTGAGAAGGATGTTTGTTTTTGGCGTTTGTGTGAGAGGATTTTGTAGGGTCCTCTCCTTTTGTCCTTTCATTTAAAAAAATAAAATTAACATCTTTTTGGAAATAATATTTATGCATAGTTATGCACTTTATATTTTGAAATATTTAGTTAATAAAAAATGTCCCCATCGTTTATATCATCTACGGTTAATAGAAGTGTGTAAAATATTAAACAATGTTTACATGTATTTTAATCCATATTTATATTTTTTATTTTTATTATTTTTAATTATTAAAATGTTACATTGTTTTCTGTATGTTTTCTTTTTAAAATATTTATATATGAACGCAAAAATATATAAAAAGATACCAGTTGTGCTTACTATTTGACTAAATTCTTGAAAACATAAAATAGATTAAGAACAGTTTTATAACTAAAAAGTAAAAACAAAAATTAGAAATGTAATCTTAACTATTCATGTTTGGAAATTTATTAATAAACTCATATTTTAAACTTAAAAATTTAGAGATTTTGTGATGGTAGTTTATAAAATTTGAAAGATAGTATCAAATAAATATCTGAGTTGAAAATTGCAATCTTGTTAATCCCCATCCACTAATGTTTTTAACTCCATTTGAAAATATAATAATGATAATAAATTATAAAATCTCTGGATTATTATGATAAAATATATATATATATATATATATATATATATATTAAGGATTAAGATAAAAGTGATTTTATTTTATAAGTTTATTTTAATTTTTTTTAATAATTTCAGATCTATTATATATCACGACACCTGAATTCAAAAATTGTGAAATTTTTATTATAATTAACTATGGAAAATGATATTAAATACCTAAGTTCATATCATATATTGTAATGGTGTATGAATAATGTGTGATGATCTTAATGATTATGATAGAAAAAGTTTCCTTGCAAAAAATTTTCTAATATCCAAAATTATGATGGTGATTTTTATTTTTTTTAAATCCATTACTAATATTTGAGACATAATTTCTTTGTGTTTGATGATGGGCTTTAGGGTCACCAAAAATGATTGTGATTAAGTTTATTGGTATGTTTAAAATTATCTATTTGTGTTTACAGTAAGTGAATCTGTTGACTTTTTAATTACACTTTATTAACTTATTTGAAACTTTATTATAAAATAAACCTTTAAAATGAATTAACATAAACTTAATTAATAAACTTATATAATATAAAAACAAAATCGAAGAGGGGAAGAACTAAAATAAATTAAACATGAAAATATTTATTTTTTAAATAATTTAGAATTTGACATCTTTTTCTAAAATTTATTTTAAAAATAAACTATTTCGCAACTATAGTTTAGTTTACTATATTAAACCTAAAATCATCTTTATATTAGCAAAATTGTGTTGAAAGTGATAAATGTATAAAGTTTTATGAAACTTTGCATCTTTGATTATACACACAACTTTACCTTAACTTTATAAAAAAAAATAATAATAATTGATGCTTATGTGAGAACTTTGAATTACTTCCAATTCATACCATTGAATAAATCAATTACTAATAAAAAAAGTTAGGTTAAGTTTTCATATTAATTATAATTTGTTAGTTTAATTAGTATTAAAGTACTTTTTTAATACCTTCACCCAATTTATGATTAAAGTATTCTCATTATAATAAGAAATATATAGTTAAGATATGTATAAAAAATTCAAATTATTTGATGTAATTTGTTGTAACTTAGATAAAATTAAGTTCAATTAATAAAAACAGTTAAATAAAATAAAAAATAATTTAATTCAATATTCTAGATAATTTTATAGTTCTGTCAAATTTGAGTGTACGTAAGTTTTAATTGATTGAGTTGATATAGTTCAAATCAGTTTATTCATTTTGCACATGATTTGTTAAATAATATTTTTTATTCATAAAATTAGATACGCTTAAAAGAAAATATTAAATTGTGGAGAAAATATTTAAACTAGACTAATTTTTATATATTTTTCACTTTTTATTTTAGTTGAAAAGTATAAATAACAAAAAAAATGTATATTACTTTATGTAGTTGCTCTAAGGAATTACGATTTTATGTTGTGTTTAATTAGTTTAAATTTGTATTTATGAAAATAATATTATAATAAGTGTTACTTCATAATAAGTATTATAATTAGTTTAGAAATAGTTTTTAATTAATTAGTTTAAAGTACTTTTAAAAAATATAATTTATAAATATCATTGAATGATATATTTTATATAACTTTTATTTTTGTTACGGTGCTTATAAATATAGTCTATAATTTTTATATTTATTTATATATAATTTATACGATTATAAATTTTTAGGATATATATTTGTTGTAAAAAATATAGTTCAATAGATATATTATTTGATATATATATATATATTATTTTATTTGATATATATATATATATATATATATATGATATAATTTTCCTTTTCTTTTTTTTTACACATATTCTCATATATTTTAAATATAACTATAATAAATATAAAATTACATACAAATTAATTTGTATGATATTTAAATTTATTATTTAAAAGTCAGTTGTCACTCCAATATGACATGCGTATGGTAAACAATGACAACACTAAATTTTTATTAAATCTTTTAAATATCTAGATTTCAATTAAATATTAATATCAGAAGAAAAAATGATTATGTAAACAAGACAACACAACTTCAAACCACATCAACCAAAAATAAAATTGTCTTATTATACAAACACATGATGTTGCTGTTGCAATTTTTTGTAATTAATGTTAAAATTTAACTAAAAGAAATGAAAGAATTTATAATGTAATATGATAAGGATCACCATAATTTAAAAGGTATGTTTGTTTTGTATTGTTCACTCCCTCAAATGTCTTGATAAAAAAATATGAAAAATATTTTTTTTATGAAATATTTGGTCTTAATCTATATCTTATCTTTACTTCTTTTTAGTTTCAACCTCTTGTATTTATATATGAAATTAAAAATAACTGATTGTTACGTAATAACAAAAAAAAAAACCATAAGTAAAATTTATCATTACACAATTCATTTGCATTCATAGATAATAAAACATTAGTGCATCAGATACAAGCATAATAATATAAGTTTGTAGAGGAGAAGACATTACTTTGTCAGCTTATTACATAATATAACATAAAGTTATCAAAATGCTGCATGTACTCATCGCCTTCACATATCCTCCAGTTTCATCATCGTTTCTTCATCAGCAAGTTGATGATCAGGTATGAATGCTAACACCACGACGGATAAAACTGGGAGAATAAGAACAAAGAGACAAACATTGGGTGGAGGCTGCTGCGGCAGGTATGGTGGCACTATCAGCAACACTACTGCCACAATTATCAAAAATAGAGATGACTTCCAACAGAAAATCTGAACCATTTTAGGATCTTGTTTTGCTTAAGATTTTGAGAGCTATAAGAAAAGAGATACAGAGGAGAGCTTAAATAACAGTGGGAGAGAGAGACTGAAAATTTCGAGTTGAGTGCATCTCATTTATTTATCAATGTTTCTAATAATAAATATGATAAGTACCGAACATGCATGTTGAAACAACTAGGTTCATGAGTCCGATTGTCTGTCGTATTTGTATAGTTAATAAAAGTTTTTATTGTTCTGTGCTCTAAATTTTTTTCATATATATTATTATACATGGTAGGATGTTTTTCGTGCTCATACAATAAAATAATATTGTTTTACATATTCAAACATTATCATCGCAAATTTTGAAATTAAATATTTAAGAAAAAGGTAAATCAACTAATAGAGTTACATTCAATTAACTAACTACACCACTCAAACAATCAATAATATAATGTTTCTGAACTTCATAACTAGTAATAACATTTTATATTTTTTATATGAAATTTTTCTCACCTTTTGTCACAATTCAACTACAACATTCACAAAATACCTACCTATCAAATTATTCCTAAGAAAATTCATTGATTTTATGACTACAGCTTAGAAATTTCGCAATACTTAACTATCAAATTTCCCTTATTAAAACTTGCTTAGAATTTTGAATCAATAAACTAAGCAATACTAGAGAGGTAGACTAATAAATATTCATATTTTATACTGAAATGTCATGTACAAAAGTCTACAAACTTTGCACTCATATATTAAAAAAATATCAAAATTTAAAAGAAAAAACATATAAAACTAAAATATTAAAGTTATTATTATTTTTATAAAATAAAGATTGAATACTTAACTTTTATTATGTTATAACTTGTCAACTTAACTACTAATGTTTTTTTTTTCATTTAATTTAACTATTAGACCATCCAAACCAGACCCTTGCAAATATTATAACATATATTATAAATTATATATAATATCAGAATTTTTTTAATCAATGATAAATATAAGGAATATTTTTTTATTAATGAATAATGATATTATTTCTAAAAAAAATCAACAAAGTTATTAAAATTAATTATTAAATAGTTTTATATTAACATTTGATGGAC